GCCCTCTTCTTGCAGGCTTGCCCAGAAGATGCTCTCAATGCACTTTACAATGAAGTCAGATTCATCTTTGATGGTTTGCCTTCAACCAACCACAATCTCAGGCCAAGTCTCGCCCTGCAGGCTCAGACAACATCCATTCATCCTGTAAGTAATCTTGACTCTCATTTATTGGTCAGTCTAAATATTAACTGAACAATAAAGCCTATATAAATAAAGTCTTTGTGAACAAAAAACACTTCACATTTGCCACTACTTTTTGTATTTGCCAATTTCACATTAGCTACTGTATGGAGCTCTGCAGTGCTGTGAAATTGTATTCATTTATAAGAGTAGGTAGTCAGACGTGTCTTTGTCAGATGTTTATATGTTTATAACCCTTCATACTCTCGTTCACAGTTAGGGTTTGAAATCAACTGCGGTGCGGACAGCCAATGTGTAGACAACCTGAAACTGGATTTCAACTTTACTAAGTGAGTTACAAAAGTGAAGCCTAACTTGGGTGTGTGGTCCTATATTTCTATTCTTTCAGTACGTTGGTGGTTCGATACCCGGCTCCTTCTACCACATGTTGAAGTGTCCTTGAGCAAGATACTGAACCCCAAATTGCAAATAACCTTTGCCATCGAGGCACTGTATGAATGTGTGTGAATGTACATTTACCATAAGCTGAAAGCATTGCTAGGCTTTAAGTCTTTCTCCTGCCTTATAATTTGTCAGATCGTTAGAGGTTAAAGTGGGCATTGATGAACTGTTGGATGTCACTGTCTCAGTGGAGAACACAGAAGAAAACTCCTACAACAGCCGCGTCATCCTCACATATCCAGCTGGAATCTCCTTCAGGAAGTTTGCAAGTCTAGAGGTAAAGCATCGGGATCAAGTCTGTTTCAATTAATCTCTGGTCAACTGCTTTCTCATGTCATGATGTGTGCTTTTGTCTTGTTTATTTATATATATTTTAATAAAAGGGAAGAATTGAGTGCACCTCCTTGGACAGTGAAGACGGCTCATCACGAGGAAAGACAGACTGCACTGTTGACAAGCCTATTTTCAAGAGCAATTCTAAGGTTTGTTCTTTGTACAGAAGGATCTGTTCTCACTGCTGCAGAGACAGTCCTGCAAAAAGAGCAGGTAATCTGATTTCCCTCCTTACTTTCACTTTAGGCTTCCTTTATTGTCTCCTATGGGATTGAGACCAATAATCAACTTGACACGAGGATTTTTGTCACTGCAAATGCTACCAGGTACTGCTCAGCTGTCCGCCTACAAGTGCAGAAATAGACAAGTATATATGTGTTTAATTTTCCTGTTGTGCAAATAATTTCACCTCTCTCTTAGCGGGAATCGGGAGCACTCTGTATCAAGTCAACTCTACAAAATGAAATGGATTGATGTGAAGTACAGCATTTTCGTTACAATTCAAAGGTTTGTGTTCTATGTAAAGCCAAACTAAAAAAGTAATAATTTGAAGTTGTCAATGTATTACCTAATATTTATGAAATATTTAATGTGTCTGTTCAGTTCCCTCAGCTACACCAATTTCACTTATGGAAAGAATGATTTGCAGAAACCAGTCCAACAATCAATTGTGGTAAAATATCATATCATAATTCCAATAACAGTTAATTAACTTGATTCAGACTTTACTTCAATGCTCAGTTAGTCTATTTAATACCAGACATCCTTGTCTTTTCCTCCTTTTTCTTAGGTTTCAAATGATATCAGAGCACTGAATTTGACTGTGGTGATCAAGGTGCCAGTAAAGCTTGGTGACAAAGACATCTGGGTGGATTCAAGCAGTTTGCAGGTAACATGTGGGAACTTGTAGTTACTGTATACAAAAAACGTCTCTAGTGTTTATTTAACTACAGCCTCAAGCATGCATGGATGGATGGATGCAATTATATGAGCACCACATCTTGTTCTCTGTTAAACTGACATGAATTGGCCCTATTTCAGTTTCCAGACTGCCAAGAAGGCAAGGATGAAGAACCTCGTGTCACAGATTTTGTTGCTGCGATACAGAAAAATAAGTTAGTGGTAAGTATGCCTCTACCATCTACATACATTATGGCATTTAGTGTTTATACTTGTTACAAGCACTTTAAAAGAAATGTTTATGTGACACTGCATTACTCATTGCTGCAAACTCATTGTCTTTTGGTAAAATTCATTTACCCTCACATGATCTACTGGCTCCTGGTCTATTACCAAGTTCAAATAGGAAATGAACAGCAGGCTTGTGCTTAATAGTGTGTGGTTTCTACCTCCTGATTGGACAGTGGGAGCAAAGATCTGTCTCAGGGGGCCACGGTGGAGCCCCATTGGGGTTAACCAATTGCAAACCATGTGAGAGTGCTATGGACGTATTCAGAGAACTTGAGTTACTTTCAGGTAACTAGTATCTCTTCATCCTCCTAGTTTGCAGGCACAATAACAGTTTTCTCTGCTTTCTGCCATTTAATCACCAACAGGATTGCTCTGTAGCCACGTGCAGAGTGTTCAAGTGCAGCAGGTTCATGGGAAGACTGGAGCAAAAAACGTACAAAATCTCCGCTAACCTTAGTTCTGGATGGATAGAGCAGGTAATTCACGTGTATGTATAATAGTCAACACATTAATTGATGAGTTTACATTTTATGCACAATTTAAGTGCAGCATTTGGAAGTATTTTGTATGCGCCGCAAAGGGCAAAACGCTGCAAAGGGCAAAACGCTTCAAACACGGGATGATGCAAATCCAAAAACACACAAACACATAAAACAAATCCAACAGAGAAATGCTGGAATCTCAGAAACGAAGCAGAAGCACAAACTTACAAACCCACAAAACAAATGCCAAAGAAAAAATGCTGCAAATTTCAAAAACACACAAAACCCCAAAACAACTGCGAGATAGAAACGCTGCAACCTGAGGGATGGACCAGTCTTGTGGCACTGTTTTTGGAGGGGAGAGTAAAAAGGTACGTTTTTCTTTATGTTTTTTTTAAACACTTTGCCGTAATCTTTCATAATATTGTAATATTATATTATTATAAAGATAATATTACAATCTTATTATAATTATATTATATTTTTATAATAATATAATATTATAGAAGAATATAATAATAATATTATAATAAGTATAATATTCTTCGATAATATCAAATCATATTAAATCATATTAAATCATATTAAATCATATGATTATAATATTATAATTATATTATAATATTGTAACATTATAAAAGATTACGGCCAAGTGTTTAAAAAAGACATAAAGGAAAACGTACCTTTTTACTCTCCCCTCCAAAACTTAGCCAACTTCTTTCTTCTTCTTCTTCTTCTTCTTCTTCTTCTTCTTCTTCTTCTTCTTCTTGTCTTTCGGGTCTGGTCCCACAGGACTGGTCCATCCCTGCCGTTTGCAGTGCGTTTGCCCTTGTCGGCCATCGTAATTTTGACTATAAATGGTCTAAATCTAAAATATCAGAAATTATTTTCGAATGAAATTAGAAAAGACATAAAGATCAAATCAATAGGCTCATCACACCCCCCATTTTCTCTCAAACAGATCGGACTTAAATCCGCCAAATTCCTTCTGACCAGCACGGCCAGTCTGGAGTACGACAGAAAACAGTTCATCTTCTATTCAACAGGGCCCAGCAACGAACCTCCTATTCGCAAGGTGATTACACATTATTTTAACTTATTTCTGTGTTTTAAAAGAGCATGACTTTGATCCAGATTTTGTCATTTCATTTCTCAGATTGAGGCAGAGGTAGAAGTGTATCCTGAACCCGACTTCACCAAAGAGATTGTCGGAGGATCCCTGGGAGGGTTGGCTCTGCTGGCTTTACTCACTGCTGGCCTGTATAAGGTGAGACACTGTTCAGCTTTATGGAGGCATTTTACATTTTCAAATATTTGACAGTTATTTTCTCATCTGGTTTGGTTATTTTTATTTTTTATTATTATGCATGTTTTTATACTTTGTTTTGTGTACTTTTAGGCTGGATTTTTCAAGAGTAAATACAAGGAGATGATCAATGAAGATGCAGCAGGTGAAGGGGCTGATGGAGTCGAAGCCACACCAGATGCACAAGCATAAAATCAGTTGATGTCCTACAGACCAATTTTCCAGATGCAGTACATCCATACTATTAGTCTGCTGATTGTAGCTGACTGCAAAACAACAGAACTGGTCCAACATCTACAGTGGTGCTGTTATCTCTAATTAGTTCATCCATACCTCTCAGAGTTGAAGAAATCTGAACTGGAAACGATTAAACATCCTGCCATTTAGAGGAATGTACTTAATTTGTGTCCATTCCATCACATTTACTCCTTTGCTCACTCGTTCACTATTTCCTATGATAGAAGTTCCTAATCTGGGGGTTGGGACCCCAACAAGGGGTCACAAAATGACTTGAAGGTGTCACAAATTAGGAAGTAATAGTAGGTGTATAGTTTTGCCTCTTCAGTCCGCTAAAAATGATTTTAAAAGTCTGAGGAGGGAAAATCACCCATCGAGTTAACGTTCAGATATGCACCCCATAAAAAAAGTGCTCACAATCAGAACCAATGTCTTATCTTATGCAAACTTAATAATTTATTTTATAGTGAGCAGTAAATTGAGCATAAATTTCACTCAAAATGTTGACACTCAAATAAAATGGTGGAGGGTAAATATAGTGCTTTATATATAGAGAGGAGTTTTTGAGAGGACATTTTTTTTCTACAATGCATTTATATTTCTGCAAACTGTTTATTCATTTTGAGAATTAGTCGTATTGTGAAAAAATATTTATATACATAAATATATATCTATATACCAGCTATATTCAGGTTCCTGTCACATATTGTACTGTAAAACTGCTGAATTATAATGTATGTATGCTTAGGATGCTCACTTGCAAAAAACATATTTGATTTAACTTTTTTGGAGAATGTGAATTGCTTTGCTTAAATGGTAAAATGTGCAATATCGACATTCTGAATTTACATAGAGACAATAAAAAGAGATTTTATGCTTCATCAATATTTATTATATATATGTGATTCGATTTCATTTTACCTGTCTTAACAATTTAAGAAGATTTAACTTCATACATGACTCTTCCCTGTACAGTTCATTTCTAGAAAAACAGTAAAATACATTTTGTTATAAAAGTATGAAGTTTGTTAAAAGTGCGTCATGAAGCAACGTTTTAACAGTTTGACCTGAGTATGTTAGTGCATTTAAAGAATGCAAATGTGGGCTTGAGAAGGGTGTTCAAAGTTGTCAGTTAATTTGACCTTTAAGTGCAAAAATTATAACATTATAAAAAAATAAATATTGAGGTAATGGACATAGCGAAAAAGAGGGATAAAGAAATTGCAAAACTTGGTGCATTTCCAGCTGCAGCAGCTTCAGGAGTCGGCATGTCGCCAACTATCTCCTTCAAGAAAGACCCGAACCTTGAAGTTTTGGCAAAGACCTGAATGTCAGCGCGGACTGATTTACTTCCACTCATTACAACGGCCACCTGGAACCAAGATGACTCGGACTTGCATAGCAGAGGGCCGCCATGATCCCCCTGCAAATATAAAAACACATGATTCATCATCACTGAAGTCCTGATACTCCCAATCTGAAAATGTCTGCCCTGATGACCAGACAGACAGATTTTAGAAACACTGATGGACAGAAAAACTTAATTTTACCTGTCGAAGATCCATGGTATAAGTGCAAATGTTCTCCAAATCAGAAGCATTTTCACAACTTGCCACTTCAGTTTCAGTGTCTCGAAGATGTGAGCCAGCTTTATCAGTGCCTTGGAAAATCACATTTCCTCAGTTCAATACACATGTTTGTGAATTATCGATCTACTTAAGATCTACTGAAATACACTTAATGCCAAACACAAAAAGTTGATAAACCCTTACCTCTGCTCTTGCTTCCCTTCTCCCAGCCAGCCACCCAGCATCTAGTTCCAATGGGGAAGGATCTGGCATTGCTGATGTCCATGCACACAGGCTGAATATAATCTCTGTAGATGACTGGTTTATTCAGCTGCACAAGGGCAATGTTGGAATCTGTGTTTTTGCTCACTGTAATGTTCACAAGGCCCAGAGACATCTCAAATTCTTCCAAGCCGTTCACAATTCGCTGGCCGAGAAACACACTCCACTCACGGATGTCTGGTTTGGGGCTGTCAGGAGAAAAAAGAACACCATATTTCATTATTCATTTCTAAATGTCTTTAATCAATAATAAGCAAAACGTGCTTTTATACTTACGTCGAGAAGCACTGGCCAGATGTGAGGATGAAATTGGCAGATATGAGGGTTCCTCCACAAGTGTGGACTCCATTTTTGTGGAGACTAACCATCCAGGGCCAACTTCCTCCAGGTACAACACCACTGTCACCTACAACACGGCTGTTCATTGGAGCTTTGCCACAAACTGACCCTAAATGAGAACATTTGATTAATTAAGAGAAGCAGAAATTAATTACAATGAGAGGAAAATACAATCTGAAAACAGTGAAAAAGTAAACTTAAAGGTTTACTTACTTGCAGGACTAGTTATACTTTGGGTAGTAGGAGTTGGTCTTGCTGTTGGTCTTGTTGTTGGGCTAGGTGGTAGGCCAGGACAGGTGTAGCTGCTGTCAGCATCCAGCCCACTGGAGGTGAACTGGACAAAGCCTGGCTTATCAGAGCTGATGTGGGAGTTGATCCAGGACTGGTAACTGGACACTCTGGAGTAGACTCCCGGCAGATTGGGCCGAGCACAGCCAAAACCAAAACTAACGATTCCAGACTGGACCCAGGCAGAGCCCTGTTTGTTCACCATTGGACCTCCAGAGTCGCCCTGAGGAGATGGAGAGGAAGACGTCTGAGGATTTCAAAAACATCCTAACGACATTGACTGAGAAGATACAAATCAAATGAAGCAGCCTACCTGACACGAGTCTTTGCCTCCTGCCAGAACACCAGCACAGATCATGTTGTCTGTGACTGTGCCGACTCCATTGAGACAGTTACACTGTCTGTTTCCGAGAACTGGAACCTCAACTTCTTGAAGAGTTTCAGGGAATGGTAATGACACTGAGGGAGCGACAAGAAGAGAGACAATTCACACATCCACCTGCTGTTCATAGATCACATGAACACTGAACTGTGTTTGTCAGCAACAAGCAGACTCACCTCCCTCCTTGACTGCTCCCCAGCCAGTGACCCAGCTATCAGTACCGTTGTTGAACACACTGTCACTGGCTGCCAGACACACAGGTCTGATGTAGTCTGTGAATTTGACTGGTGAGGAGAGTCTGAGCAGAGCGATGTCGTTGTCGTTGGTATTACTGTCATAGTTTGGATGCAGAAGGATTCTGGCAACAGTTCTGGACACTTCGTTTGGGTTTATGCCCTGCAGGTTCTGACGGCCGAGAGAAACCTGCCATCCAGACGTACTTGTACTGAAGGAAAAATTATAAAATGCATCCGTTTGAAAAAGATGGTGGACAAGAATTGCCAAACCACAGACTGACACACAGTAAAACTCATCCTATATTACATCACAGTTACCAACCTGGAGAAGCAGTGAGCAGCAGACATCACCCACTCTCTGTTGATGAGGGAACCACCACAAACATGGCTGCCAAAGATCTGCAGACTGACCTGCCAGGGCCAACTTCCAGCTGGAGCATCTTCACCTCCAACTATCTTGGTGTTCAGGGGAGTGATGCCACACACTGCAAACAAATGTTTTCAACTAAGTTGATCTTAAAATAACCATCCCTCCATACACACAAAACATCGTTACCATGAGCTTGCAGCTACCACCCCTCCAACACAGAAGTGATCCAGAGACACCAAGAAAAATAGGTGAAACCAACACACAGACTGCACCAGTGTTCACTGGCAATGTGTAAATATTACCGTAAGCAAAAACGAATTCGATCGGAATCATCTGAAATGTTTTATAGTCATAAAACTTTATGAGATTAATTAAAGAAAGCAAAACCTGCAAACTACTTCAGACAACCAATTAGAGTCCACTGCTTCACTCACATGGCATACTCCTTTCACTGCAACAAACCTCCAACATAGCTTTTTAATCATGGCGGTGTTCTTAAGCACTCAGTCCTCTGTTTACTCTGTTTGAGCATGCCTGCTGCCTCATCATTCACTTTAAAGCTGTGTTGACTCTTGCTGTTCAGCAGCATCTCAAAAACCCACCTCCACCACAACATCCACCTGCAAGTTCTGACTCTACCTTCATCTAGAGGAAAGTTAATACATTCAGCCGTCACTACCCGCTGTAAAGAGCTTTGTGATTCCTTTTGAGTAGACTGTGGCACTGCTGTCTACCACAATGTCATTTTAACACTAACACTAGTGGGTGCTTTACATGAATTGTAAAATTTTTACAAATAGTGGCTTTAATGAATAACCTAACTGAAGCATTTGTGCAGAGTAGGATGGAAAAAGTCAACTGTCATAAATCTGAGGATCAAACATGTGAGGTAGTGTAAAGATTGACATTTCAGATTTGCTTTACAAGATAGCTGACAATATATTCATTTCATTAAGAAGACACTAAATGATTTGTAAATTAAGAATACTGTTGTATTCAGCGTACTTACATTCAGCGCTTAGCATGGTTGATGATGGAGTTGTGGTTTTAGATACTGGTTCTGTAGTTGTGTCTGGTCCTGCAGTATCAGTAGTAGCAGCAATAATAACAGGAGGTGGCAGACCAGGACAGGTGTAGCTGCTGTCAGCATCCAGCCCACTGGAGGTGAACTGGACAAAGCCTGGCTTATCAGAGCTGATGTGGGAGTTGATCCAGGACTGGTAAGTGGACACTCTGGAGTAGACTCCCGGCAGATTGGGCCGAGCACAGCCAAAACCAAAACTTACTACTCCAGACTGGACCCAGGCAGAGCCCTGTTTGTTCACCATTGGACCTCCAGAGTCGCCCTGAGGAGATGGAGAGGAAGACGTCTGAGGATTTCAAAAACATCCTGACGACATTGACTGAGAAGATACAAATCAAATGAAGCAGCCTACCTGACACGAGTCTTTGCCTCCTGCCAGAACACCAGCACAGATCATGTTGTCTGTGACTGTGCCGACTCCATTGAGACAGTTACACTGTCTGTTTCCGAGAACTGGAACCTCAACTTCTTGAAGAGTTTCAGGGAATGGTAATGACACTGAGGGAGCGACAAGAAGAGAGACAATTCACACATCCACCTGCTGTTCATAGATCACATGAACACTGAACTGTGTTTGTCAGCAACAAGCAGACTCACCTCCCTCCTTGACTGCTCCCCAGCCAGTGACCCAGCTATCAGTACCGTTGTTGAACACACTGTCACTGGCTGCCAGACACACAGGTCTGATGTAGTCTGTGAATTTGACTGGTGAGGAGAGTCTGAGCAGAGCGATGTCGTTGTCGTTGGTATTACTGTCATAGTTTGGATGCAGAAGGATTCTGGCAACAGTTCTGGACACTTCGTTTGGGTTTATGCCCTGCAGGTTCTGACGGCCGAGAGAAACCTGCCATCCAGACGTACTTGTACTGAAGGAAAAATTATAAAATGCATCCGTTTGAAAAAGATGGTGGACAAGAATTGCCAAACCACAGACTGACACACAGTAAAACTCATCCTATATTATATCACAGTTACCAACCTGGAGAAGCAGTGAGCAGCAGACATCACCCACTCTCTGTTGATGAGGGAACCACCACAAACATGGCTGCCAAAGATCTGCAGACTGACCTGCCAGGGCCAACTTCCAGCTGGAGCATCTTCACCTCTAACTATCTTGGTGTTCAGGGGAGTGATGCCACACACTGCAAACAAACGTGTGTTAATAAGTATATGTGAAATGTATCATTCTAACCAAGCATGAGAATAAGAGCATTTTTAAAAATAACTTGAATCCTGGAGAAGCACTGCTAAGCTCTCCTTATTAAATTATAGAGAAACCTCAAATTTTAATTAAACATTTCAATAATTAGTTTAGGTCACTATGTAACTTTTGAATATGCTGATTTTGGTTATGGCAGTATCGAAAAAGACACCGTGCAAGCAACGCATACTTCTTCCCCTCAGCACTCACACAAAGATTGCACCAGTTTTAAACCGGATTGTCTCACTTTTCTGCAGAGCAATGTTTCATGGTTCCACTTGGTGGTGCAAAAGGCTTAGATGTTAAAATTTTACTAAAAGAGGCATTAATAATTGATGAGTTGAATAATCAACATGAGCAGAGAAAGAACATCAGTTTCAAGCAGAAGAAAAGACATGAAAGTATCAACATTCTTGAAAAAAGTGTTAATTGTTTATCAATTGAATAAATTACAGCCAAGTCTAACAATATACTCAAAATACTTTGGTAGTCAGGTTACTTACATTCAGCACTTGAAATCATGGATGGTAAATCTGTGGTTGTAACATCTGGTCCTGCAGTATCAGTAGTAGTAGCAATAATAACAGGAGGTGGCAGACCAGGACAGGTGTAGCTGCTGTCAGCATCCAGCCCACTGGAGGTGAACTGGACAAAGCCTGGCTTATCAGAGCTGATGTGGGAGTTGATCCAGGACTGGTAAGTGGACACTCTGGAGTAGACTCCCGGCAGATTGGGCCGAGCACAGCCAAAACCAAAACTTACTACTCCAGACTGGACCCAGGCAGAGCCCTGTTTGTTCACCATTGGACCTCCAGAGTCGCCCTGAGGAGATGGAGAGGAAGACGTCTGAGGATTTCAAAAACATCCTGACGACATTGACTGAGAAGATACAAATCAAATGAAGCAGCCTACCTGACACGAGTCTTTGCCTCCTGCCAGAACACCAGCACAGATCATGTTGTCTGTGACTGTGCCGACTCCATTGAGACAGTTACACTGTCTGTTTCCAAGAACTGGAACCTCAACTTCTTGAAGAGTTTCAGGGAATGGTAATGACACTGAGGGAGCGACAAGAAGAGAGACAATTCACACATCCACCTGCTGTTCATAGATCACATGAACACTGAACTGTGTTTGTCAGCAACAAGCAGACTCACCTCCCTCCTTGACTGCTCCCCAGCCAGTGACCCAGCTATCAGTACCGTTGTTGAACACACTGTCACTGGCTGCCAGACACACAGGTCTGATGTAGTCTGTGAATTTGACTGGTGAGGAGAGTCTGAGCAGAGCGATGTCGTTGTCGTTGGTATTACTGTCATAGTTTGGATGCAGAAGGATTCTGGCAACAGTTCTGGACACTTCGTTTGGGTTTATGCCCTGCAGGTTCTGACGGCCGAGAGAAACCTGCCATCCAGACGTACTTGTACTGAAGGAAAAATTATAAAATGCATCCGTTTGAAAAAGATGGTGGACAAGAATTGCCAAACCACAGACTGACACACAGTAAAACTCATCCTATATTATATCACAGTTACCAACCTGGAGAAGCAGTGAGCAGCAGACATCACCCACTCTCTGTTGATGAGGGAACCACCACAAACATGGCTGCCAAAGATCTGCAGACTGACCTGCCAGGGCCAACTTCCAGCTGGAGCATCTTCACCTCCAACTATCTTGGTGTTCAGGGGAGTGATGCCACACACTGCAAACAAACGTGTGTTAATAAGTATATGTGAAATGTATCATTCTAACCAAGCATGAGAATAAGAGCATTTTTTAAAATAACTTGAATCCTGGAGAAGCACTGCTAAGCTCTCCTTATTAAATTATAGAGAAACCTCAAATTTTAATTAAACATTTCAATAATTAGTTTAGGTCACTATGTAACTTTTGAATATGCTGATTTTGGTTATGGCAGTATCGAAAAAGACACCGTGCAAGCAACGCATACTTCTTCCCCTCAGCACTCACACAAAGATTGCACCAGTTTTAAACCGGATTGTCTCACTTTTCTGCAGAGCAATGTTTCATGGTTCCACTTGGTGGTGCAAAAGGCTTAGATGTTAAAATTTTACTAAAAGAGGCATTAATAATTGATGAGTTGAATAATCAACATGAGCAGAGAAAGAACATCAGTTTCAAGCAGAAGAAAAGACATGAAAGTATCAACATTCTTGAAAAAAGTGTTAATTGTTTATCAATTGAATAAATTACAGCCAAGTCTAACAATATACTCAAAATACTTTGGTAGTCAGGTTACTTACATTCAGCACTTGAAATCATGGATGGTAAATCTGTGGTTGTAACATCTGGTCCTGCAGTATCAGTAGTAGTAGCAATAATAACAGGAGGTGGCAGACCAGGACAGGTGTAGCTGCTGTCAGCATCCAGCCCACTGGAGGTGAACTGGACAAAGCCTGGCTTATCAGAGCTGATGTGGGAGTTGATCCAGGACTGGTAAGTGGACACTCTGGAGTAGACTCCCGGCAGATTGGGCCGAGCACAGCCAAAACCAAAACTTACTACTCCAGACTGGACCCAGGCAGAGCCCTGTTTGTTCACCATTGGACCTCCAGAGTCGCCCTGAGGAGATGGAGAGGAAGACGTCTGAGGATTTCAAAAACATCCTGACGACATTGACTGAGAAGATACAAATCAAATGAAGCAGCCTACCTGACACGAGTCTTTGCCTCCTGCCAGAACACCAGCACAGATCATGTTGTCTGTGACTGTGCCGACTCCATTGAGACAGTTACACTGTCTGTTTCCGAGAACTGGAACCTCAACTTCTTGAAGAGTTTCAGGGAATGGTAATGACACTGAGGGAGCGACAAGAAGAGAGACAATTCACACATCCACCTGCTGTTCATAGATCACATGAACACTGAACTGTGTTTGTCAGCAACAAGCAGACTCACCTCCCTCCTTGACTGCTCCCCAGCCAGTGACCCAGCTATCAGTACCGTTGTTGAACACACTGTCACTGGCTGCCAGACACACAGGTCTGATGTAGTCTGTGAATTTGACTGGTGAGGAGAGTCTGAGCAGAGCGATGTCGTTGTCGTTGGTATTACTGTCATAGTTTGGATGCAGAAGGATTCTGGCAACAGTTCTGGACACTTCGTTTGGGTTTATGCCCTGCAGGTTCTGACGGCCGAGAGAAACCTGCCATCCAGACGTACTTGTACTGAAGGAAAAATTATAAAATGCATCCGTTTGAAAAAGATGGTGGACAAGAATTGCCAAACCACAGACTGACACACAGTAAAACTCATCCTATATTATATCACAGTTACCAACCTGGAGAAGCAGTGAGCAGCAGACATCACCCACTCTCTGTTGATGAGGGAACCACCACAAACATGGCTGCCAAAGATCTGCAGACTGACCTGCCAGGGCCAACTTCCAGCTGGAGCATCTTCACCTCCAACTATCTTGGTGTTCAGGGGAGTGATGCCACACACTGCAAACAAACGTGTGTTAATAAGTATATGTGAAATGTATCATTCTAACCAAGCATGAGAATAAGAGCATTTTTTAAAATAACTTGAATCCTGGAGAAGCACTGCTAAGCTCTCCTTATTAAATTATAGAGAAACCTCAAATTTTAATTAAACATTTCAATAATTAGTTTAGGTCACTATGTAACTTTTGAATATGCTGATTTTGGTTATGGCAGTATCGAAAAAGACACCGTGCAAGCAACGCATACTTCTTCCCCTCAGCACTCACACAAAGATTGCACCAGTTTTAAACCGGATTGTCTCACTTTTCTGCAGAGCAATGTTTCATGGTTCCACTTGGTGGTGCAAAAGGCTTAGATGTTAAAATTTTACTAAAAGAGGCATTAATAATTGATGAGTTGAATAATCAACATGAGCAGAGAAAGAACATCAGTTTCAAGCAGAAGAAAAGACATGAAAGTATCAACATTCTTGAAAAAAGTGTTAATTGTTTATCAATTGAATAAATTACAGCCAAGTCTAACAATATACTCAAAATACTTTGGTAGTCAGGTTACTTACATTCAGCACTTGAAATCATGGATGGTAAATCTGTGGTTGTAACATCTGGTCCTGCAGTATCAGTAGTAGTAGCAATAATAACAGGAGGTGGCAGACCAGGACAGGTGTAGCTGCTGTCAGCATCCAGCCCACTGGAGGTGAACTGGACAAAGCCTGGCTTATCAGAGCTGATGTGGGAGTTGATCCAGGACTGGTAAGTGGACACTCTGGAGTAGACTCCCGGCAGATTGGGCCGAGCACAGCCAAAACCAAAACTTACTACTCCAGACTGGACCCAGGCAGAGCCCTGTTTGTTCACCATTGGACCTCCAGAGTCGCCCTGAGGAGATGGAGAGGAAGACGTCTGAGGATTTCAAAAACATCCTGACGACATTGACTGAGAAGATACAAATCAAATGAAGCAGCCTACCTGACACGAGTCTTTGCCTCCTGCCAGAACACCAGCACAGATCATGTTGTCTGTGACTGTGCCGACTCCATTGAGACAGTTACACTGTCTGTTTCCGAGAACTGGAACCTCAACTTCTTGAAGAGTTTCAGGGAATGGTAATGACACTGAGGGAGCGACAAGAAGAGAGACAATTCACACATCCACCTGCTGTTCATAGATCACATGAACACTGAACTGTGTTTGTCAGCAACAAGCAGACTCACCTCCCTCCTTGACTGCTCCCCAGCCAGTGACCCAGCTATCAGTACCGTTGTTGAACACACTGTCACTGGCTGCCAGACACACAGGTCTGATGTAGTCTGTGAATTTGACTGGTGAGGAGAGTCTGAGCAGAGCGATGTCGTTGTCGTTGGTATTACTGTCATAGTTTGGATGCAGAAGGATTCTGGCAACAGTTCTGGACACTTCGTTTGGGTTTATGCCCTGCAGGTTCTGACGGCCGAGAGAAACCTGCCATCCAGACGTACTTGTACTGAAGGAAAAATTATAAAATGCATCCGTTTGAAAAAGATGGTGGACAAGAATTGCCAAACCACAGACTGACACACAGTAAAACTCATCCTATATTATATCACAGTTACCAACCTGGAGAAGCAGTGAGCAGCAGACATCACCCACTCTCTGTTGATGAGGGAACCACCACAAACATGGCTGCCAAAGATCTGCAGACTGACCTGCCAGGGCCAACTTCCAGCTGGAGCATCTTCACCTCCAACTATCTTGGTGTTCAGGGGAGTGATGCCACACACTGCAAACAAACGTGTGTTAATAAGTATATGTGAAATGTATCATTCTAACCAAGCATGAGAATAAGAGCATTTTTTAAAATAACTTGAATCCTGGAGAAGCACTGCTAAGCTCTCCTTATTAAATTATAGAGAAACCTCAAATTTTAATTAAACATTTCAATAATTAGTTTAGGTCACTATGTAACTTTTGAATATGCTGATTTTGGTTATGGCAGTATCGAAAAAGACACCGTGCAAGCAACGCATACTTCTTCCCCTCAGCACTCACACAAAGATTGCACCAGTTTTAAACCGGATTGTCTCACTTTTCTGCAGAGCAATGTTTCATGGTTCCACTTGGTGGTGCAAAAGGCTTAGATGTTAAAATTTTACTAAAAGAGGCATTAATAATTGATGAGTTGAATAATCAACATGAGCAGAGAAAGAACATCAGTTTCAAGCAGAAGAAAAGACATGAAAGTATCAACATTCTTGAAAAAAGTGTTAATTGTTTATCAATTGAATAAATTACAGCCAAGTCTAACAATATACTCAAAATACTTTGGTAGTCAGGTTACTTACATTCAGCACTTGAAATCATGGATGGTAAATCTGTGGTTGTAACATCTGGTCCTGCAGTATCAGTAGTAGTAGCAATAATAACAGGAGGTGGCAGACCAGGACAGGTGTAGCTGCTGTCAGCATCCAGCCCACTGGAGGTGAACTGGACAAAGCCTGGCTTATCAGAGCTGATGTGGGAGTTGATCCAGGACTGGTAAGTGGACACTCTGGAGTAGACTCCCGGCAGATTGGGCCGAGCACAGCCAAAACCAAAACTTACTACTCCAGACTGGACCCAGGCAGAGCCCTGTTTGTTCACCATTGGACCTCCAGAGTCGCCCTGAGGAGATGGAGAGGAAGACGTCTGAGGATTTCAAAAACATCCTGACGACATTGACTGAGAAGATACAAATCAAATGAAGCAGCCTACCTGACACGAGTCTTTGCCTCCTGCCAGAACACCAGCACAGATCATGTTGTCTGTGACTGTGCCGACTCCATTGAGACAGTTACACTGTCTGTTTCCGAGAACTGGAACCTCAACTTCTTGAAGAGTTTCAGGGAATGGTAATGACACTGAGGGAGCGACAAGAAGAGAGACAATTCACACATCCACCTGCTGTTCATAGATCACATGAACACTGAACTGTGTTTGTCAGCAACAAGCAGACTCACCTCCCTCCTTGACTGCTCCCCAGCCAGTGACCCAGCTATCAGTACCGTTGTTGAACACACTGTCACTGGCTGCCAGACACACAGGTCTGATGTAGTCTGTGAATTTGACTGGTGAGGAGAGTCTGAGCAGAGCGATGTCGTTGTCGTTGGTATTACTGTCATAGTTTGGATGCAGAAGGATTCTGGCAACAGTTCTGGACACTTCGTTTGGGTTTATGCCCTGCAGGTTCTGACGGCCGAGAGAAACCTGCCATCCAGACGTACTTGTACTGAAGGAAAAATTATAAAATGCATCCGTTTGAAAAAGATGGTGGACAAGAATTGCCAAACCACAGACTGACACACAGTAAAACTCATCCTATATTATATCACAGTTACCAACCTGGAGAAGCAGTGAGCAGCAGACATCACCCACTCTCTGTTGATGAGGGAACCACCACAAACATGGCTGCCAAAGATCTGCAGACTGACCTGCCAGGGCCAACTTCCAGCTGGAGCATCTTCACCTCCAACTATCTTGGTGTTCAGGGGAGTGATGCCACACACTGCAAACAAACGTGTGTTAATAAGTATATGTGAAATGTATCATTCTAACCAAGCATGAGAATAAGAGCATTTTTTAAAATAACTTGAATCCTGGAGAAGCACTGCTAAGCTCTCCTTATTAAATTATAGAGAAACCTCAAATTTTAATTAAACATTTCAATAATTAGTTTAGGTCACTATGTAACTTTTGAATATGCTGATTTTGGTTATGGCAGTATCGAAAAAGACACCGTGCAAGCAACGCATACTTCTTCCCCTCAGCACTCACACAAAGATTGCACCAGTTTTAAACCGGATTGTCTCACTTTTCTGCAGAGCAATGTTTCATGGTTCCACTTGGTGGTGCAAAAGGCTTAGATGTTAAAATTTTACTAAAAGAGGCATTAATAATTGATGAGTTGAATAATCAACATGAGCAGAGAAAGAACATCAGTTTCAAGCAGAAGAAAAGACATGAAAGTATCAACATTCTTGAAAAAAGTGTTAATTGTTTATCAATTGAATAAATTACAGCCAAGTCTAACAATATACTCAAAATACTTTGGTAGTCAGGTTACTTACATTCAGCACTTGAAATCATGGATGGTAAATCTGTGGTTGTAACATCTGGTCCTGCAGTATCAGTAGTAGTAGCAATAATAACAGGAGGTGGCAGACCAGGACAGGTGTAGCTGCTGTCAGCATCCAGCCCACTGGAGGTGAACTGGACAAAGCCTGGCTTATCAGAGCTGATGTGGGAGTTGATCCAGGACTGGTAAGTGGACACTCTGGAGTAGACTCCCGGCAGATTGGGCCGAGCACAGCCAAAACCAAAACTTACTACTCCAGACTGGACCCAGGCAGAGCCCTGTTTGTTCACCATTGGACCTCCAGAGTCGCCCTGAGGAGATGGAGAGGAAGACGTCTGAGGATTTCAAAAACATCCTGACGACATTGACTGAGAAGATACAAATCAAATGAAGCAGCCTACCTGACACGAGTCCTTGCCTCCTGCCAGAACACCAGCACAGATCATGTTGTCTGTGACTGTGCCGACTCCATTGAGACAGTTACACTGTCTGTTTCCGAGAACTGGAACCTCAACTTCTTGAAGAGTTTCAGGGAATGGTAATGACACTGAGGGAGCGACAAGAAGAGAGACAATTCACACATCCACCTGCTGTTCATAGATCACATGAACACTGAACTGTGTTTGTCAGCAACAAGCAGACTCACCTCCCTCCTTGACTGCTCCCCAGCCAGTGACCCAGCTATCAGTACCGTTGTTGAACACACTGTCACTGGCTGCCAGACACACAGGTCTGATGTAGTCTGTGAATTTGACTGGTGAGGAGAGTCTGAGCAGAGCGATGTCGTTGTCGTTGGTATTACTGTCATAGTTTGGATGCAGAAGGATTCTGGCAACAGTTCTGGACACTTCGTTTGGGTTTATGCCCTGCAGGTTCTGACGGCCGAGAGAAACCTGCCATCCAGACGTACTTGTACTGAAGGAAAAATTATAAAATGCATCCGTTTGAAAAAGATGGTGGACAAGAATTGCCAAACCACAGACTGACACACAGTAAAACTCATCCTATATTATATCACAGTTACCAACCTGGAGAAGCAGTGAGCAGCAGACATCACCCACTCTCTGTTGATGAGGGAACCACCACAAACATGGCTGCCAAAGATCTGCAGACTGACCTGCCAGGGCCAACTTCCAGCTGGAGCATCTTCACCTCCAACTATCTTGGTGTTCAGGGGAGTGATGCCACACACTGCAAACAAACGTGTGTTAATAAGTATATGTGAAATGTATCATTCTAACCAAGCATGAGAATAAGAGCATTTTTTAAAATAACTTGAATCCTGGAGAAGCACTGCTAAGCTCTCCTTATTAAATTATAGAGAAACCTCAAATTTTAATTAAACATTTCAATAATTAGTTTAGGTCACTATGTAACTTTTGAATATGCTGATTTTGGTTATGGCAGTATCGAAAAAGACACCGTGCAAGCAACGCATACTTCTTCCCCTCAGCACTCACACAAAGATTGCACCAGTTTTAAACCGGATTGTCTCACTTTTCTGCAGAGCAATGTTTCATGGTTCCACTTGGTGGTGCAAAAGGCTTAGATGTTAAAATTTTACTAAAAGAGGCATTAATAATTGATGAGTTGAATAATCAACATGAGCAGAGAAAGAACATCAGTTTCAAGCAGAAGAAAAGACATGAAAGTATCAACATTCTTGAAAAAAGTGTTAATTGTTTATCAATTGAATAAATTACAGCCAAGTCTAACAATATACTCAAAATACTTTGGTAGTCAGGTTACTTACATTCAGCACTTGAAATCATGGATGGTAAATCTGTGGTTGTAACATCTGGTCCTGCAGTATCAGTAGTAGTAGCAATAATAACAGGAGGTGGCAGACCAGGACAGGTGTAGCTGCTGTCAGCATCCAGCCCACTGGAGGTGAACTGGACAAAGCCTGGCTTATCAGAGCTGATGTGGGAGTTGATCCAGGACTGGTAAGTGGACACTCTGGAGTAGACTCCCGGCAGATTGGGCCGAGCACAGCCAAAACCAAAACTTACTACTCCAGACTGGACCCAGGCAGAGCCCTGTTTGTTCACCATTGGACCTCCAGAGTCGCCCTGAGGAGATGGAGAGGAAGACGTCTGAGGATTTCAAAAACATCCTGACGACATTGACTGAGAAGATACAAATCAAATGAAGCAGCCTACCTGACACGAGTCTTTGCCTCCTGCCAGAACACCAGCACAGATCATGTTGTCTGTGACTGTGCCGACTCCATTGAGACAGTTACACTGTCTGTTTCCGAGAACTGGAACCTCAACTTCTTGAAGAGTTTCAGGGAATGGTAATGACACTGAGGGAGCGACAAGAAGAGAGACAATTCACACATCCACCTGCTGTTCATAGATCACATGAACACTGAACTGTGTTTGTCAGCAACAAGCAGACTCACCTCCCTCCTTGACTGCTCCCCAGCCAGTGACCCAGCTATCAGTACCGTTGTTGAACACACTGTCACTGGCTGCCAGACACACAGGTCTGATGTAGTCTGTGAATTTGACTGGTGAGGAGAGTCTGAGCAGAGCGATGTCGTTGTCGTTGGTATTACTGTCATAGTTTGGATGCAGAAGGATTCTGGCAACAGTTCTGGACACTTCGTTTGGGTTTATGCCCTGCAGGTTCTGACGGCCGAGAGAAACCTGCCATCCAGACGTACTTGTACTGAAGGAAAAATTATAAAATGCATCCGTTTGAAAAAGATGGTGGACAAGAATTGCCAAACCACAGACTGACACACAGTAAAACTCATCCTATATTATATCACAGTTACCAACCTGGAGAAGCAGTGAGCAGCAGACATCACCCACTCTCTGTTGATGAGGGAACCACCACAAACATGGCTGCCAAAGATCTGCAGACTGACCTGCCAGGGCCAACTTCCAGCTGGAGCATCTTCACCTCCAACTATCTTGGTGTTCAGGGGAGTGATGCCACACACTGCAAACAAACGTGTGTTAATAAGTATATGTGAAATGTATCATTCTAACCAAGCATGAGAATAAGAGCATTTTTTAAAATAACTTGAATCCTGGAGAAGCACTGCTAAGCTCTCCTTATTAAATTATAGAGAAACCTCAAATTTTAATTAAACATTTCAATAATTAGTTTAGGTCACTATGTAACTTTTGAATATGCTGATTTTGGTTATGGCAGTATCGAAAAGACACCGTGCAAGCAACGCATACTTCTTCCCCCTCAGCACTCACACAAAGATTGCACCAGTTTTAAACCGGATTGTCTCACTTTTCTGCAGAGCAATGTTTCATGGTTCCACTTGGTGGTGCAAAAGGCTTAGATGTTAAAATTTTACTAAAAGAGGCATTAATAATTGATGAGTTGAATAATCAACATGAGCAGAGAAAGAACATCAGTTTCAAGCAGAAGAAAAGACATGAAAGTATCAACATTCTTGAAAAAAGTGTTAATTGTTTATCAATTGAATAAATTACAGCCAAGTCTAACAATATACTCAAAATACTTTGGTAGTCAGGTTACTTACATTCAGCACTTGAAATCATGGATGGTAAATCTGTGGTTGTAACATCTGGTCCTGCAGTATCAGTAGTAGTAGCAATAATAACAGGAGGTGGCAGACCAGGACAGGTGTAGCTGCTGTCAGCATCCAGCCCACTGGAGGTGAACTGGACAAAGCCTGGCTTATCAGAGCTGATGTGGGAGTTGATCCAGGACTGGTAAGTGGACACTCTGGAGTAGACTCCCGGCAGATTGGGCCGAGCACAGCCAAAACCAAAACTTACTACTCCAGACTGGACCCAGGCAGAGCCCTGTTTGTTCACCATTGGACCTCCAGAGTCGCCCTGAGGAGATGGAGAGGAAGACGTCTGAGGATTTCAAAAACATCCTGACGACATTGACTGAGAAGATACAAATCAAATGAAGCAGCCTACCTGACACGAGTCTTTGCCTCCTGCCAGAACACCAGCACAGATCATGTTGTCTGTGACTGTGCCGACTCCATTGAGACAGTTACACTGTCTGTTTCCGAGAACTGGAACCTCAACTTCTTGAAGAGTTTCAGGGAATGGTAATGACACTGAGGGAGCGACAAGAAGAGAGACAATTCACACATCCACCTGCTGTTCATAGATCACATGAACACTGAACTGTGTTTGTCAGCAACAAGCAGACTCACCTCCCTCCTTGACTGCTCCCCAGCCAGTGACCCAGCTATCAGTACCGTTGTTGAACACACTGTCACTGGCTGCCAGACACACAGGTCTGATGTAGTCTGTGAATTTGACTGGTGAGGAGAGTCTGAGCAGAGCGATGTCGTTGTCGTTGGTATTACTGTCATAGTTTGGATGCAGAAGGATTCTGGCAACAGTTCTGGACACTTCGTTTGGGTTTATGCCCTGCAGGTTCTGACGGCCGAGAGAAACCTGCCATCCAGACGTACTTGTACTGAAGGAAAAATTATAAAATGCATCCGTTTGAAAAAGATGGTGGACAAGAATTGCCAAACCACAGACTGACACACAGTAAAACTCATCCTATATTATATCACAGTTACCAACCTGGAGAAGCAGTGAGCAGCAGACATCACCCACTCTCTGTTGATGAGGGAACCACCACAAACATGGCTGCCAAAGATCTGCAGACTGACCTGCCAGGGCCAACTTCCAGCTGGAGCATCTTCACCTCCAACTATCTTGGTGTTCAGGGGAGTGATGCCACACACTGCAAACAAACGTGTGTTAATAAGTATATGTGAAATGTATCATTCTAACCAAGCATGAGAATAAGAGCATTTTTTAAAATAACTTGAATCCTGGAGAAGCACTGCTAAGCTCTCCTTATTAAATTATAGAGAAACCTCAAATTTTAATTAAACATTTCAATAATTAGTTTAGGTCACTATGTAACTTTTGAATATGCTGATTTTGGTTATGGCAGTATCGAAAAAGACACCGTGCAAGCAACGCATACTTCTTCCCCTCAGCACTCACACAAAGATTGCACCAGTTTTAAACCGGATTGTCTCACTTTTCTGCAGAGCAATGTTTCATGGTTCCACTTGGTGGTGCAAAAGGCTTAGATGTTAAAATTTTACTAAAAGAGGCATTAATAATTGATGAGTTGAATAATCAACATGAGCAGAGAAAGAACATCAGTTTCAAGCAGAAGAAAAGACATGAAAGTATCAACATTCTTGAAAAAAGTGTTAATTGTTTATCAATTGAATAAATTACAGCCAAGTCTAACACTATACTCAAAATACTTTGGTAGTCAGGTTACTTACATTCAGCACTTGAAATCATGGATGGTAAATCTGTGGTTGTAACATCTGGTCCTGCAGTATCAGTAGTAGTAGCAATAATAACAGGAGGTGGCAGACCAGGACAGGTGTAGCTGCTGTCAGCATCCAGCCCACTGGAGGTGAACTGGACAAAGCCTGGCTTATCAGAGCTGATGTGGGAGTTGATCCAGGACTGGTAAGTGGACACTCTGGAGTAGACTCCCGGCAGATTGGGCCGAGCACAGCCAAAACCAAAACTTACTACTCCAGACTGGACCCAGGCAGAGCCCTGTTTGTTCACCATTGGACCTCCAGAGTCGCCCTGAGGAGATGGAGAGGAAGACGTCTGAGGATTTCAAAAACATCCTGACGACATTGACTGAGAAGATACACATCAAATGAAGCAGCCTACCTGACACGAGTCTTTGCCTCCTGCCAGAACACCAGCACAGATCATGTTGTCTGTGACTGTGCCGACTCCATTGAGACAGTTACACTGTCTGTTTCCGAGAACTGGAACCTCAACTTCTTGAAGAGTTTCAGGGAATGGTAATGACACTGAGGGAGCGACAAGAAGAGAGACAATTCACACATCCACCTGCTGTTCATAGATCACATGAACACTGAACTGTGTCTGTCAGCAACAAGCAGACTCACCTCCCTCCTTGACTGCTCCCCAGCCAGTGACCCAGCTATCAGTACCGTTGTTGAACACACTGTCACTGGCTGCCAGACACACAGGTCTGATGTAGTCTGTGAATTTGACTGGTGAGGAGAGTCTGAGCAGAGCGATGTCGTTGTCGTTGGTATTACTGTCATAGTTTGGATGCAGAAGGATTCTGGCAACAGTTCTGGACACTTCGTTTGGGTTTATGCCCTGCAGGTTCTGACGGCCGAGAGAAACCTGCCATCCAGACGTACTTGTACTGAAGGAAAAATTATAAAATGCATCCGTTTGAAAAAGATGGTGGACAAGAATTGCCAAACCACAGACTGACACACAGTAAAACTCATCCTATATTATATCACAGTTACCAACCTGGAGAAGCAGTGAGCAGCAGACATCACCCACTCTCTGTTGATGAGGGAACCACCACAAACATGGCTGCCAAAGATCTGCAGACTGACCTGCCAGGGCCAACTTCCAGCTGGAGCATCTTCACCTCCAACTATCTTGGTGTTCAGGGGAGTGATGCCACACACTGCAAACAAACGTGTGTTAATAAGTATATGTGAAATGTATCATTCTAACCAAGCATGAGAATAAGAGCATTTTTTAAAATAACTTGAATCCTGGAGAAGCACTGCTAAGCTCTCCTTATTAAATTATAGAGAAACCTCAAATTTTAATTAAACATTTCAATAATTAGTTTAGGTCACTATGTAACTTTTGAATATGCTGATTTTGGTTATGGCAGTATCGAAAAAGACACCGTGCAAGCAACGCATACTTCTTCCCCTCAGCACTCACACAAAGATTGCACCAGTTTTAAACCGGATTGTCTCACTTTTCTGCAGAGCAATGTTTCATGGTTCCACTTGGTGGTGCAAAAGGCTTAGATGTTAAAATTTTACTAAAAGAGGCATTAATAATTGATGAGTTGAATAATCAACATGAGCAGAGAAAGAACATCAGTTTCAAGCAGAAGAAAAGACATGAAAGTATCAACATTCTTGAAAAAAGTGTTAATTGTTTATCAATTGAATAAATTACAGCCAAGTCTAACAATATACTCAAAATACTTTGGTAGTCAGGTTACTTACATTCAGCACTTGAAATCATGGATGGTAAATCTGTGGTTGTAACATCTGGTCCTGCAGTATCAGTAGTAGTAGTAGCAATAATAACAGGAGGTGGCAGACCAGGACAGGTGTAGCTGCTGTCAGCATCCAGCCCACTGGAGGTGAACTGGACAAAGCCTGGCTTATCAGAGCTGATGTGGGAGTTGATCCAGGACTGGTAAGTGGACACTCTGGAGTAGACTCCCGGCAGATTGGGCCGAGCACAGCCAAAACCAAAACTTACTACTCCAGACTGGACCCAGGCAGAGCCCTGTTTGTTCACCATTGGACCTCCAGAGTCGCCCTGAGGAGATGGAGAGGAAGACGTCTGAGGATTTCAAAAACATCCTGACGACATTGACTGAGAAGATACAAATCAAATGAAGCAGCCTACCTGACACGAGTCTTTGCCTCCTGCCAGAACACCAGCACAGATCATGTTGTCTGTGACTGTGCCGACTCCATTGAGACAGTTACACTGTCTGTTTCCGAGAACTGGAACCTCAACTTCTTGAAGAGTTTCAGGGAATGGTAATGACACTGAGGGAGCGACAAGAAGAGAGACAATTCACACATCCACCTGCTGTTCATAGATCACATGAACACTGAACTGTGTTTGTCAGCAACAAGCAGACTCACCTCCCTCCTTGACTGCTCCCCAGCCAGTGACCCAGCTATCAGTACCGTTGTTGAACACACTGTCACTGGCTGCCAGACACACAGGTCTGATGTAGTCTGTGAATTTGACTGGTGAGGAGAGTCTGAGCAGAGCGATGTCGTTGTCGTTGGTATTACTGTCATAGTTTGGATGCAGAAGGATTCTGGCAACAGTTCTGGACACTTCGTTTGGGTT